AAATATTACACGTCCTAACTAAAAAAAAAAAAAAACTCAAACCCTCAAAATTCTTCAAGTTTCTTCTCCTTCTCCATTAGCTTTCTTGATAATTATCCCAAATTTCCTCTATCATTTTCCTAAAATGAATAAAACATACGGGTGCACGTTCTGCAAGCGTAAATTCTCCAACGCTCAAGCTTTGGGAGGGCACATGAACGTCCATAGGAAGGATCGGGCGAGGCTCGTCTCCCACGAGAACTTGTTCTCGTTGGGCCCCACCGACAAGGTAACGAATTCCGAACATGAGAATATCGTGGACCGAGAAAATGAGACCAAGAAGAAGAATTTTGATGGTGAAATTGATAGCGTTCGTCCGATTCCAAGTTTCGAAAAGGGTTTGAAACGACGTCGTTTTGAAGAGCCAGCGTGGTCACCGGGAAGTAGTGTCTTCGAGGTCGACCTTGAACTTAGGTTAGGACATCATTCAAGAGCCTCTTAGTGTAAAAGGCAAGGTATTAATTTGATTATTTATTATGAAGTTAATATAACCTATGTATGTTTTTGTTGGATTATTAAATTTTGGAAACCTAATTATTTGTTAGATATGTATAATCTAATTGTAGCATATCTATTTTATTTATCACATTGTTTTTTTGTAAATAAGGGGAAAATTATAGCAATTTGTTCCTAAAGTTCGGATACTACACTACAAGAAGATGATGAAATTCTAACGGAAATCTATTCCAAAAGAATTATTCCAACGACAATTCCAATGGATATTTCAATACTATTGGAATTTTTCAATGGATTCCAACGTTGGAATTTTTCAATGGATTCCAATGAAAATTCCAACAAAAATATTCCGTTGGAATGGGGTTTCCATTGGAATTTTCGTTGGATTTTGACGATTCCAACGGTGGATTCTCCAACGGGGGTGAAAAAAGTTCCAACGAAATTTGTATATTCCAACGGTAAAAAGTTGTTGGAAATATAGCCGTTGAAATCATCAAATTTCATCTAAAATTCCAACGAAAAACACATTTCAACGGAAGCTATATCATTGGAATATCCGTTAGAATTTCCATTGGAATATATTACCATATGATTTTCCGTTGGAAGATAACAATTATTTTGTAGTGTTAAATTAGTTAAACGGCAAAAAGAGAATTTAATTTTTTTTACTCAAATTAAGTTCTTCCCTCTCTTGTTCATTGCAAGTCAAAACAAGACAACCTTTTTAGGAAATGAACTATATATATTTTAAATAAAATTTATCCATCATTTACTTATATTTGGAAAGTTGTACTTCATTTTAAAAGTGGTTCCAAATAGAATTGTCGAGCCCATGCTCGTGAATTCAACTTGTTTAAATCTTGTTTGATTAACGATTCGAGTCATAAAGCTTGAAAAGTAGGGGATATTTCTACAAAATTTATAAACCTTTTCGCTTTATTCTATTTCTTAAGATTTGATCATCATAGCTGGTTAAAGAGCCGAACTCGAGTTTATTAATTTATCGACTAGGCTCGTCACTATAAGTGTTAGATATATCCTGAGCTCAAACTCGAGTATCGACTCGTTTATGTCTTAACTTCAAATGAATCAAACACTAAACTTTTTATTGCCATATATCTATATTAATAGTTGGGAGCACATCGCAACATATGATTCACACAATTTAGCTACATATATACCAAACTCAACTCATAATATGTGCCACCACTACTACTAAATAATAATATATATAATCCACCACAAAATTATTGAGTTTTACACTAATTTAAAAATGGCATCTAGCAATTACATTACAAAACCACTATATAATTAACCCAATAATTATCAAATTTATCAGCCGCCATATATGTTAAATAAACCCCAATAAAAAATCAGCCCCGATTTCATTTAATTCATATATTTATTTTCATAAATAATAAAAAAAATAAGTAAAAATTATATTAAAAATTTTCATAAAGAGTCCTTCATAACTATAATTTCCGCCTCAAAAAAGGTGTCACAATCCCACCACAACACAGAAAAAAATCCGACCTTTTAACAACCCCTTTTCTCCCCTTCATCAAAAAATCACAACAAAATTTTCTTTTTTTTTTTCCGGCGATGTCTCACTCATCGGAAACCGCCGCGAACCGATTAAAGCCGTGGAAGCACCTCCACCCTCCGCCGGCCAAAACCCCGAAATTCAAGAACGCCCTTCTGCTAATCTCCGCCTTCACAGTCCTCTACCTGCTCTACTTCTCCGCCGCCCTCCGCAGCGGCTGCCCTGCGGCCGCCGCCGCCGATGTCAACGGCGGCGGAGGCGGCCGGACGGACCTATCCCACATCGTCTTCGCGATTGGCGGCTCCGCCGGGACGTGGGCCCGGCGCCGCCACTACTGCGAGCTATGGTGGCGGCCGAACGCCACCCGCGGCCACGTATGGCTCGACGAGACGCCGGCGGCGGCGGACGGACCTTGGCCGGAGACGTCGCCGCCTTACCGGGTCTCGGCCGACTCGACCCGGTTCCATTACACCAACCCGTACGGGTCGCGGTCCGCAGTCCGTATTGCCCGGATCCTCAAGGAGAGCTTCGAGGAGCTTGGGCACGAGAAACGAGATGCGGTGCGGTGGTTTGTGATGGGTGACGACGACACGGTTTTTTTCCCGGAAAATTTGGTGGCGGTGCTCAATAAGTACGATCATCGGGAGATGTATTACGTTGGGGGGAACTCGGAAAGTGTCGAGCAAGACCTCGTGCACCTGTACGCGACGGGTTACGGAGGAGGAGGTTTTGCCGTAAGCCGGCCGCTAGCCGAGGCTTTGGTGGGGGTTTTGGACGGGTGCATCGACCGGTACGCGGATGCTTACGGGTCGGATCTGAAAATCGGGTCGTGTATCAACGAAATAGGGGTGCCGATTACAAAAGAGCTAGGGTTTCATCAGGTGACTTGACTTTTCTGCTCGTTTTTGTGTTTTTCGTGTATTTTAATTTAAATGAATTGTATTTCCATATTTTACAGGTGTTTAGAAAGAGTGGATAAATAACGATACTACCTATTATAAAGGCATCTCTAGAATTACTTTGAAATATAATTTTAAGTGTTTCCAATTATACGGAATGATTCTTTAACGGGATTGGGATCGGGATCGGGATGGTAGTATCTCCCGGTTAAATTCATAGGCACTAAAGTCTTCCCATGTGCGATCTTCACTAGTCACAACCCAAACTCATTAATTTTTATAATTACACTTAAAAATAAAAGTTGAATTTGGTGAAGATCACTTTGCATGTGCATCTTATTAAACCTCAAAATTGTTAGTAATTGTTACAACTTACAAAAATCTAACAATCAACAATTTAATGTTTTTTTTTTTTTTTTACTTTTCACAGATGGATATACGAGGAAGCCCATATGGCCTACTTTCGGCCCACCCAATAGCACCACTAGTCTCATTGCACCATCTAGACTATATCCATCCCGTTTTCCCGGGCCAAAGTCGGGTCGAATCCATCAAAACTCTAATGCAGGCCTACAACTCCGACCCCAGCCGAACCTTGCAGCATACCTTTTGCTACGACCCGACTCGAAACTGGTCCATTTCCGTTTCGTGGGGTTATAATGTACAGTTGTACCCGTTTTTGGTGAATGCTAAAGACTTGAGTACACCGTTGCAGACTTTTCTAACGTGGGGCACTTGGAGTGAGGAGCCCTTCACGTTCAACACTCGGGCCATGAGCCTCGAGCCATGTGAGAGGCCCATTGTTTTCTTCTACGACCGAGTTCAAAAGCTGGCGAACGGTACGCTGACGACTTATAAGACGATGGATTCATTAAAACAAAGAACGCATTGTGACAATCGGAATTATGCTCGTGGGTATGCCGTGAAGGGATTCAATGTTTTCGCCGAACGTTTGAATCCCACGATATGGAATAAGGTACGTACACATAAACTCGCTTTAAAAAAAAAAAAA